GACTACCATCTTATTTATCTTATAATCTTTTGGTGGATGATCCAGCTCTGACTAGCTAAAAAAGTTAGATTTCACTCTATTGACTCATCTATTAATCTAATACATAATTTGGACCTATTTAAACATGTCAATGGAAGAGCTATTTTAAATATAATTTATGAATAATGCTTATGTACTTTTCCTTTACATTGTTTCATGTTTTTGTTCTACATTTGACATCATTTCATGTAATGTTATGTTTTACTTCTACTCCCATGAAGGAAAAAGCTGAAGCTTAAATTGCTCCAATTTACAGGATTTTTTGTTTTAATTTGATTTGATTTAAAAAGCAAGCTCATTTCAGAGAGGATGAGCTGATGGGCTACTCAAGGCCCACTCTACTCTAGTAGAGTACAATAAAAATATGACACTGGAAATGAGCTGAATATATCCCCTTTAAGTACAGTGTCTATCTACCACCACATTAGCTACTAACAGTAAACATTGGAGCAAAACTAATACAAAAAATTGCAGACAAATAGTTTAATGGCAACTGCTGTGCAAAACTAAAAACTAAATTTAAAGGAAAAAGTGATGCAAAACTTGTAATTTTCACCGAATGTACATTTATGGCCTGTTTTGTGTGTCTGTGCACTGCACACAGAAGAATATAAATTTTGTTGTGATATTTGTTCTGCTTTAAACACAAAAGCTGAAATTGTTGTGCTATCTTGCAGACATTTGCACAGAGATGAAGCTGGACTTCCTCAGCGCACTGAGCCTCAGTGATATCAGAGTCTCTGTGCCGGACACAGACAAAGTTAGAGAAGCAGAAGATGATAGAAAATGGCGAGAGGAAGAAGGAGGAGGCAGAGAAACTTTGTTCCAGCTCAGGAAAAGATCGAGGAAGCGGCGTTCCTTCATGGAAACCGATTACACGTCCAGGGTGTCGTATCCAGAGCCAGATCCAGAGTCAAAGCAGGCCCTGGCTTCCAAGCGGTGTCATAAAAAGCATTTGGGAGAAGTCAGCGATGCCCAGATCCTCAGTTCAGATCCTGAACCTTCAGAGCAAACCAAGAATCCTAGCCCCACTGTCTCCTCACTTACTCACTCTGAAGGGGAACCTGCTCAGCTTGAGTCAAAGCCCATTCTGTCAACACTCTGCTCGCGTGCACCAGGTTTTGGTTCTCTTGATCAGCCTAGAGACCCAAATCCTGCTCCCAAAACCAGGAAACAGGAAATGGAGATGGAACCTGACGCAATGGAGTCCAAATCGGTCACCGATCTGGTGAAATCAGTGTCTCCAACCATCACTGTTGTCCGCTGCCGTGTGGATCCAGACGGGAAGGAGAGTGCCGATCGGAGGGGTGACGGAAAGGAGGAAGGGGAGGGACAGGAGCAGGATAGGGAAGGGAAAGAGGAAGGGAAGCCGGAGTCAGCAGGTTTGACAGGGAATGGACCGTTCAGTAGTCATATGTTTTTGCAAGAAATCATTAAAGAGGAGGAAGAGAAGAAAGAGGGAGTGGGAGCATACTCGTCTAGCTTGAAGAGACCACTTGTGGGTGTGCAGGCGCCACCAGAAATCCACATACTGTCTCCATGTTTACCAGACGGGAATAAAAAGGGCAGTAACGGCCTTTTGGTGTCCAGTTTGATTGCACCAGAGATGAAAGATGCAGAGGAATACATGCTTAAAGGCCCCTCATATTCACCACCACCACCCCCACCTTCATCCCCTCTGCCCTCAGTACCAGTCCTTCACAAATCCCAGAGTGGGTGTGTAGTGAAGGAGGAAGAGGGCAGCGAGTACGTGGAAATCCAAAACAAAATTACAGCTTCAGATTATGTGGAACACAATCCGAAGACAAGCAATGACAAAGAACAGGCACACGTAAAGGTCACAAGCGTTAACGACGACGATGCCATCGGGGCTGTGACCGTAAGCGATGAAGTTACAGACAGCACCACTTCTGACAATGTTTTTGATGATGATGATGATGTTGATGAAGTGAGTAATTCACTGAGTGACAGGAGAGACGACAGGACTAAAGCTACAAAGTGTAGAGCTAAATCAGCAGGTCAAAGCGAGTCACAAATCAAGTCTCGCACAAGAATTCATTCTGATTATACTCGTGCTATAAACTCAATTACAGCAAAGCTCGGAGCTGCAACAAGCGCCGCGCCTCCTACTTTTAATTCAGGTGTTGGATTTCTCAGTGCTTTAAATCAAACCGTGGATAAACCCAGGAGTGAAACCCAAAGTGCTGAAGATAAAGAAAGTTTAGCTAGTTCGAAGTTAGAAAAGACTAGCATGGCTACAATCACCGATCTCGCTAAACAACCTACTTCTCCGACTCATTTCCTCTTCCAAACCTGTTCCCCCGCCATCATGGGCCGATTATCTGTGTCAACGCTTAGGGGGAAGATTCAACAGCTGCCTCTTTATTTATCACGATCTCAAGAGTCTCTCAGTCAACCCGGGATTGGGAACGTGGCCCGGAGTCCTGCTGAGGACACCAAGGAAGAAGCAGAGGTCACCATTAAAGTAACAGACGTTAATGATGTCAAACAAAATGCTGACTTAGAAGTTGGCAACACTGCGGAGTCGGTAGAGTCAGATGATTCGGATACAACGGTCACAGGATCGGAGGTGGACGGGGAGGTTTGTGTAGAACTAACATCAGCAAAGAGTCTTAATTCAGGGACAGAGGTGAAGGAGGAGGTCAGCTCTGACCTGCCTGTTCAGACCGAGCCTAAGCCCCAACATCGAAATTTGTTGTACTCTGGATCTGATAAGGACACACCAGGACCAATAACAGAGCCCCCAGCCTCCATAGTGAGCCAACTCCAAAGAGATGCCGCAGGTTTAAAGATGGACACTCCTGGTCCCATAAAAGACTCTCCAGAACCAAACTCCAAAGTCACAAGTCCAGATGCAGACGCACCAGGTTATAAAACAACCAATCGATCACCTTCCATCCCTCCTGCAATCGTGGTGACCACAGAGAATCTAAATGGGCCCAGGCTTCCTTTTCAGCCACAGAAAATAAGAAGGACAAGTAGCGACAGGCCTTTAATTGATCTTTGTAGACCTTCAGAGAAAGTTTCAGGCTCACCAAAAACACCTCCTTCAGGCTGCAGAGTATTCACTATCTGTGAGGATTCAACAGAGACAAAGGCCCAGGCCGAGGTGGTGTCTGCTCCACCTCTGAAGTCAGAGTTTGGGTGTGGTTCTGTGCTATCGTCTGGATGCGAGTCGATCGTAGAGGGGGTGCAGGTGCCACTGGACGCTTGCGGTTGCCCAGCTGTTTACACAAACTGCTTCGGAAGCGAGGACAGCTTCGATGATGAGCTGACGGTCTACGAGTTCTCCTGCCGCACACAGAGCAGCGAAGTAACGCAGACTTCTGGGGCAGGTCTTCCTCTAATGAGCTCTTCCCCTGTTCCCTCCTTTCTTTCCCCTATGTCCTCCCATTCCCCCTCGTTTCCTCGTTCCATTCTTTTCTCCACTTCTACCTCTGAGCTCAGCCCTCTTCTCTCGCCTCTCTCTGACACCTCTGACCCTTTCACTTCTCAAACGCACAAGGACACCATGAGTCGGCTGGGTCAGCAGCGCTACCCAGAACCTCCCACGGGTTTCCAAGTACTCCGCTTAGATGTAGACCAGCTTCTTTCCATTCTAGAAAGCAGCAATGCTGACCGATCCGTAGGAGGACACAGAGCTCGTCACCCAAGAGAAACGTGCCCTGCTCACTTTACGGAGAACAAAAGGGTGCTCCAGATGGAAGCACGGCGGCTGATGTCAGGCTGCCAAAAGGTGGTGGGGATCGGACAGAGCCCAGAGGAGATGCTTCACTCTCTGGCCAACAGTTTCCGGACCCTGGTGGAGCTGGCAGGCGTGTGCCTCTGGTTTTCTGGGTGCGACAGGTGCGACCGGAGGAACGCAGAGGCCGTCGCAGGTCTGGCAGATGTGGCCCGCTCATTCAGGGACTTCTGCCTGGCGGCGGAGCGTGCCAGCAGCAAACGCAGCTGCCAGGACCTGAGCACCAAGCTGCTAGCCAAACAGTGCACAGCACTCACCGCCTCAGTCTTCTGCCTCACTCAGCTGTTCCGCACCCTCACTACACTCTGAGGCGACCGCAGCCCTTCGAGAAATTACCTTCAGCCTTGCGACCTGTGGCGTTCAACTCCACATCCGTGAGGTCACCAGTGAGCTCACAGCTGCTGTAGGTGTGGATAAGTGTGACCTGGGACTCTCGGCTTGCGGTGCTGTTCCTAGGAAGCTCAAAAAACTGGGGCCGGTTAACAGTTTTTTTTCTGGTTATCAAGGCAGAGATCGCCGAGGCGCATGTGGTGACTGACTAGCTGTGCACGTACTGTACCAAACAAACCAGATGGATAGCCAAGAGCCAGACTGTAGAGTGCTGCAAGCTTGCATTCCAATATCAAAGCTGATGTACTTGAATGTATTCTGTGTTATTAACTGTTTATTTATTGATTGATTGGTTTATTTAATGAGATACTGCAGTTTGTCTAAGGAAGAAAGGAATGTCAAGGAATAAATATGGAAATGTTTACAGTCATAGACAGAGGAGCAGCGGTGTGTCAAAGTAGTGGGCCTTTTTCACACATGCACAAGCACACATGTAATCGATGCAGAGTAACTCTGACTCATCCATTCATACACTGGCCTTCTGTTCAACAGACTGACCATTTTAACTCTTCTCATCATCTGACTGCAGTTTACAGATTCTTATATACTGGATCTTAATAGGACGTCGGTGAAGACTTTTTCTGAATGTTAATGTTTACAAAACCAAAAACTAGTGTGGGACATGATTTGATGATTTCAAGCCTGAAGCCATTTGCTGTTTTATAAACCTAGTAGTGGAATGCTCATGTATGCGCGTTGCAGGATTTTACGAAACGGCACATTGAGTTTTTTGTCCTTTTACACCAACATTTGATAGGATCTGTGGAAACGTCAAAGATTCTCAACATTTTCTTTAATTTATTTTCTCTTTGACTGAAACCTTCCGGTGCATGGTGACGTTACCATTGCAGCTCCTTGCATTTATTTCCATATATTCATTTATTTTTGTATATTCCACAACAGTCCGCAGGCTACAGAAGATACTTATCAATAGGTATTAAAGGTGTGTGACAGTTCTTGAGTTTCTGATTGCTTTCAAGATTATAAAAACCATCACACCTCTGCTTGAGTTCTGAGGATGAAGAAAAACGACTGTCCCTTATACTAAGTGCATTATTATAGATTTCCCAGTATGACTACAAGTACTTGACCAGTGACATAACTTGGCCACAGAATGCAGTATTAGCTTTTACAGCCTTTGACTAATTGTGTAGGCCGGTCAGACCCAGCGATTGGTTCACAGCCTCTTCTTGGTTTTCTTTAAAATTTGACACGGAAATTATGTAAAACTTAAAATTTATTATTGTGGATGAGCTGCTGTATGGCAGCATTTTCACTGGGAATGTTTAACAGTTAAAAGGCTCGACACACAAGACCTGCATGTTCACTGCAGAAGTAACCATCAAAACTCGTTTCACCACTTCAGTTCAGGGGATACAGTAAACTGCAAACGGTGTTTCTTTTTATGATAGCAGCCAAAATGCTTTTATTCACGTTACTGTTTTGTTTCATTAGGTTCCAATAGGATATTTTCCTGTATTATTTTTTCCAGTTTGCAGAGAAGAATGGGTTTAGTTTTACCATTATCTCAGCGTGGGCGTTTCCCTAAAAGTAATGATGGAAAACCTTTTTTTAAAGTCCTCTGTGCTCACGAAGCATGCTGTTATAATCCATAAAATGCATTGTTATCTCTTCAGGGATTTTATCTGTGAATGACGGATAGATGAAGTCTGTGCTTGCTTTGTAATGCTCAATTCCCACCATTAAAAACTATGTTATGATCTTTTCATGATTCCTTTTATTTTTCATCCAATATCATCTTTGCTGAGTCAGACAGACAATGCAATAGGGGTGCAAACTGAGTAAGGCGAGGGTGTCCAGATCAGCTTTCTCTCTCGTCGTCCTCAATGCAATATTAGAAGGATACCTTTATGATACTAAATATCAGTAATAAGCACTGGCAGCTCTTGTGGTAAGAAAAACAACTTTTGAAGATGAAAAAAGTGGACTCCCCCCTCCTGTGGGTCACAGTGGTTTGGTCCACTCCCTATATCCTTAATCAAAAAGGTGACGTTAGAACAAGGGACAGTATTTACATCCCCCACTCAACAGATTAAAACGGTTATATATTATAGTGTGACCATATTGTTAAGATGCAGCTGCTTAATTCATGTTTCTATATCAGGAAAGAGGAACAGTTGAACATAATCAACACAAACGAAGATAATAAAGAAGAGGGAAAAACAGAAAGTTGAGCTAAACTGGGAAAATAATAAAATTAGGTAAAAAAAAATCAATCGTCATAGTTCACAGTGTGCACATATGAAAGAGTCTGGAGATGCTGTGGCATCTGTCACATGTGCTCAGAGTGAACCTGCTCTCATCTGTGACGACAACAAGGCGCCAGTGGTAGTCCTGCCAGATCTGATGTTCTCTGGCGAATGTCAGTTGATCTGCACGGTGCTGGGCTGTGAGCACGTCCCTCTGAAGCAGGGAGGGCAATTATATTTCCCAAGAGTCCACACGAGAAACTGGGATTGTTGTGGGGGGCCCCACCTTGACTCCTGATTTCTCATACAGCCTCTTGGGAAAATGAATTGCCCGCCCCTGCTCTGATTCCACGCTCACAGATTCTGTTTCTAACATTTTCACCAAATACATGCACATGGGTTCTCACTGGAGGTCATTCTGTGGGACCCTCGTAATCATCTTCCTCTTCCTTCTTGAACAGAGGAGTAGATACTGGGCCTGCTGCTGGACTCATGCCCTCTACACCCATTTGATGGCTTATCTCTGACGCTGTGCTGGGTACTGAGCTGGGCT